TTTCTGTTTCATATATTATATATGAATATGTGATTATGAACCAAACAAACATCATTCATATGAGGACCTGGAATTGTGATATTGAACTTCGATATGAACTGATATTAATACTGAATGTAAAAGTAGCGTAGGAGATCTTTTAAAAGAAAGAAAATTCTGGAAGGAACACATCACAAAAAAACTAAAAATGCAGGAAAGAAAAATAATACAGAGTTGCAGCACCAACTTTGCTCCTTGCCTAAGCCATCTCAATACCACTCCATGTTCTGTAATGTTATGAATCTCCACTCCCCATCTTCCTTTCATTCTATCTTCCATGCCTTACTCCTTGCTTTCCTACAGTCCTTGCCTTGTAGCCGATGTTTTTTCTTGCCAAAATCCTTGTTCTACCCCTTATTCATAATTTGCACATCGTCTAGCATGTGTGCCTAACAGACTTCTTTAACTCGTCTGAGATCAAACTTGAACATGCACTCATACTTTTTTTACTAAGCTTGAATAGGCTTGAGGCCTCGAGCATACCAATCAAATGTTTAGGGGTGCAGACTGGTCCAAGAATTATATTTGCCTATCTTTAACATAGTTTCAGGCTAGTTGCATTGCATGACGACGTCCTCAACATTTGTGAAGTATCTAGTATTATGAGTCCTAAATGCAATTTCTTAGTGGTTTTTTTTTTACAGGTAAACGTTAACCTAGCTGGACTACCTGCCTTGGTTTTACCATGTGGATTTGTTGAGGGTGGGCCAGCAGGCCTTCCTGTTGGTCTGCAAATGATTGGTGCAGCATTTAATGAGGTATCGACTTTTCCTATTCACTGCACCGGACTCCTTGTTGATGGAGCTTTTCTATGTTGTCTTTTTAGTTTACTTTTCTTTATAAGTTTTCATTTCTTACTAAAATAAAGGGTGAGATAGGGATAATCTTTTATATATTCTTAACTTCATGTAGAGATGGTTAAATAAGACCAAGGGGAAAAAGTAGAAAATCAAAGCTTAAAGCTACTGTAAATTCTAATGAATGCAGTTCCTTTTTTGCATCAAATGTGATACTTGTGTGAAAGATACAAAGGCCTTATGCTTTGATGTTTGCTCCAAAGTTACACCCTTTGAACATGGTTGTTATGCTATATACGTATATCTTGAAGAATTAAGAGTTTCGGATTGGAGAAATCAAAAAATAGAGGACCATGACATGTAAACCTAGAATGTGGTTGACAAGATAATGTAAACACTTCCATAGCCTAGTACTCCTACTTATACTAATAAGTAATACTTATGTGTATAAACCCAAGTCCACTTACACCTAGACTAAACAACCCTAATATCTTCTAACATTACAAACTATTTTCTCAAATTTCATGCTTTTAGAAAAAGTAAGTATATTTTGAAACATATCAGTACCCTGTAGTCATAGCAAATGCAAGCTTCTGGAATCACAAAGCATAGATATGTTATACATGGATTTGAAAATAGACATAATTTGAAGTGTTTTATTTTGTTGATAAAATCTATTTTTAATGATAATAACAAATAATACTCTTACAATGTGATTTGCTTGGTTCAGATTGAAACGTACCTTATAGCTAAAGTTAGTCGTATTAATTTTTTTATTGGAATATATTTGGTCTTAGGCTTTTGAGGCAATAGCATATACATTAAATTTTGGCATTTTTGTTAAAAACATTTGCTATACAATAACAACCAAGCCTTTATCCCACTAGGTGAGAGCTAAATGGAACGAACGCCATAATCCTCTGTCATAAATCATATTCATAAAAACATATGCTATTTTTGGTTCACACATAGCGCATAAAAACGTACTATTTTTGAACCAAAAAATGAAGAAAAAATGTAGTGTGTCTATGCTTATGAGTTCTGCATGAGAGAATGTGTGCATGAACAATGTTTGACATTGAACAAGTGAATCATCTTTTGACTGGGATTTGAATTGCAGGGAGAGCTTCTAAGAGTGGGACATATCTTTGAGCAAACTCTTAACAAATTCAGATTTGTTCCACCAATTGAAGCTGATAGTGTTGCATGATGAGCATAAATTTAACTCTACATTATGGTGTTTTATAAATGATTTCATTAGTTTCATCACAACATGGTAGCTGAAGCAGACTTTTTAGGCAATTCAGTATATGCTTGTGCCATTCACATTATCTAGGAAAATATGGTTTGGACACAGCATAGGTTAAATACTACTGCAAATGTTTCACTATTTCAAATTGAGTTCAACACTATTCAGTTGCAAATGTTATCTTTTGATGAGGGTGTAAAACTAGCTAGATTTATCAAATCAAAGTGTAAAGGAGCACGGTTTTAAGCTCTAAGAGAACATTCTGTTCTTGTAATTTATTGTTGAGGGTCTATTTTGTAACTTTTGAATAAGAAATGAATTTGTTTCAATTTTCTTGGATACTTTGCTGTCATTGAAATGTTTATGTAGCCAAAGATTATTGCAATGATCAAGTTAGGGAGTTCATTTTCTTTGTGATTTTCACTTGGAAATAGTGTAGGGATTACAATGAAAACCGAACCTATAGGTACTCGTCTGAATCCAACCGGAATTTAATAGAAAAAACCCTCTTTGATTGGGTTCGGGTGTGGTACAATTGATACCCCTATCCCGAACCAGTTAGATAGTGTTGTTACTGTTTTTTTTTTTCTTCTTCTTTTTGGTCTAAATACATTACAAACTGATGTACTATGCATATACATTTCCTTAGTTTGCTGTCATTTCCTAAGAATACAAGCACTGTCCTCAAAACCTAAAACAGATGTACTGTGCAAAAAACAGCAATCAATTTAAAACACAAGGCACCAATTTTGAACTATTTTTTTCGGGTCCCACAGGATTTGGGGATGATATTGTTAATTTTAATCTCGTTGAGTTTGGGTTTTAGTGAAATTGTACAAATTACCCCTCTATTTTTTAAAATTTACACAAATTACTCTTAATTATATACATACATTACACTGTCTATATCAATAACAGTCAATGTTAATTCATTAATTTCTTAAACAAAAATTGTGATAAGTGTAATTAAGTCAAAAAAAATATGGTATATTGTGAAGACATGTCCATTATTTTTTGTTTATTTATGAATGTTTATTCAAACAAAATATGGTATATTGTAAACAAAATATTGACGAATGTTTATTCATTATTTTTTGTTTGTCACAAACTACATCAATAATTTTAAGCATGTGTTTAAATCAATGTTATACGATATTATAATTAATCAAAATAATGAATAGATATTAAATCTTATATTGTTGGGATTTGTCTTCGCCATATATCATATTTTGTTTAATATAATTAAATCTGTTACCAATTTTTATTTAAGAAACTGCAATTATCTCTCCTACAGGGGTAGTCAGTGTAATATATGTATATAATTATAGGTGATTTATGTATATTTAAAAAAATAAATGAGTAATTTATGTAATTTTACTAAGACTCAAGGGGCAGTGTAATTTATTCTAAAAAAATGAAATTTATGGGGGATGAAGATATTTGGGTACTGGCTTTAGGTAGTGGATATTTAGTGGATCTAATGTGCCTATAGTTTGGGTTGGAATTGAGGATAGATTTCATATGATAATTATCTGTATATTATTTTTATTAAAGAGTTGATAATTGTAATCAGAGAATAGTAAAGGATGTGATGACATTACCATTTTGGGTTGCCTATGCACCACCAAAACTCCATCCCACTATGTCCAATTACAAAATGTCCTAAAAAAACACCACTAGCCAATTCCCATTTTTACGTGAAAATCACCCAAACTACCATAACCATCAAAAATTAATAAAGCTCTTTAAGTTCGATGATGTCAAGATAAACGCCCAATGGAGAAGCTAATATTTTTCACGTGCTTTGACCAAAGCTGCTTGTAAAAGTTTGCTAATTAATGTTGTTTTCCATCAGCATTAATTCACCACATTTATTAGTGGAGTGTTTACTTTTGTTACTTTTGACAAGTTTTAATTATATAGAAGTCACCTTGGACCTCATTTACGGATGATAATGAAAACCGAATCCGAGAGTATCTGTCCGAACTAAACTTGAATTTAATGAGAAAAACCCGACATAATAAATACATATATAAAACCTATATGTATACATGTTTTAGGCGGGTTCCCGTTGGGTTCGGGTTTCTTGAAATCCGATGGGTTCGAGGATGATAGTATTGTTTTCAATCCGTTTAATTCGGATTCACGTTTTAAATTTTGGATTTGGGTTTGGTTAAATACAAGTCTGACCCTGATCCGTCCGGTTACTATTGTTAAACTCATTTCATTATTTCTCAACTTTTTCGCAAACGAGTATCATATTTGAGTTAAAAAAAAGTAAGAATGAGATAAATGAATTGAGAAGGCAATGAGAGGTTAAAGACGAGAAAAGAAGAAATAATATTTTTAGTAAGAGTTTGTTAGCGGGTTAGATTTTAGAGTAAAAAAAGTTTCAGAGCCATAAAATATACTTGTAAGATGACTATAAAGTTTTCATTTTTTTTCAAAAACTCAACTCATAAAGATACTCTAACAGAAGAGATGGGGAGCAATGTCAATCATTATTTGAAATCTCCATTGTGGATGAGAATGTTTTTACTTGAGCCTTGAGAAAATCATTTGCCAATTATGATAAATGGGCTCTCGACATTTTGGTAGGATTTTAAACAAAGCTTGTCCATTGTTCGATGCTAGTTGGTTGTCCTATGCAAGAAGCCTTACCTTTGTTTGACGCAAGCTTTGAAAAAATGGAGATCACATATCCTTATTCTTGTCTCATTTTATGTCTCCGTCCAATTAAAAAATATCACTTAATTAAAAAGAAAAGTCATAAAAATAGTAACTAATACTTTAATATTATTTTACAAATTTTGATTGACTAGAGATAGAGAGATGTTTTTTTTTAGAACAAGAGAACTTTGTTCACTTCCACACATCGAAGAAGATTTTTTTTGCTAAATTTTTTCTATTTTTTGAGTTCGAATTAATTGTATGCGCCTCTATGCAAAAAAATGGGAATATGAATGATTCACTATTCACCCGGTTTCTGGGTCATAATCATTATATTATGTAGGAGGGAAAGATGGCCGAGTGGTTCAAGGCGTAGCATTGGAACTGCTATGTAGGCTTTTTGTTTACCGAGGGTTCGAATCCCTCTCTTTCCGTTTCCATTGATTATTTGGTATTTTTTTTCTTTTGACCTAGAGGTGTCAAAATGGGCGGGCCGGCCCGCCACAACCCGAAATTTTGTAGGGCTTGGGTATTAAATTTGGCTCTTTTTAGTAAATCCGGGCTCGGGCCAGGCTTACCCGGGCGGGTTCGGGCTACCCGTTTTCTCTTATTTTAAAACTTTTTTTGGGACTTTTTGGCTAGGTAATAAGTTTAAGATGAAAATTATTTTACAAAATAACTTATGATAAAAAAATAGATAATATATACTAAATATTGTGTAATGAACTTTGAATAAAAAATAGAGTAATGTCTATAAAATAAATATTTATAAATTACAATAATGTTATCAAGTTAATAATTATATTATTTTTCCTATTTTGCTTAATATCCTTTTAAGCACATTAGCAAAATAGTGTATCAAATTAACTGAGAACATTAAACTATATAGATTCTATTTTTATTTTTTTAATTGTATATTTAATTAGATTTAACTTCTACAACAAAAACAAAATAAAAAAAATAATTTTTACAACGAAACTGAAAACAACTTAATTGTTTACCGTAGAGAACTCAACACAACCAAATTTAACATAACAGTTCACAATGAAAGTGTTGATAAAGAGTATACAAAAGATATCCATACACAAAGTAAAGAAATATTATGATGATAATTATACTTCGACACATAGAATTCATTCTGAATTTGAGTCTATACTATCATTACTATAAACCAAAGTGATATTATTTTTTACTGTATCCATTTATTATATTGAAGTGAAGTTACAAATTATATTGTGTTAGAGATTGAGAGTCTAATATAAATAAAATATTTAATGAATAAGTTATGTTATGAATCATATCCGTATACTTAACATCATGTCTTAGCTCAAACACATAGCATTATATCTATAAGTTTGGTTGCATTGAGTATAATAATTGTGTTAAAAAATTTATGCATTAATATCAAATGATATATATATATATATTAAAATTTAAATAATTTTTTTAATATTATGCGGGCCGGCCCGCCACAACCCGCAGCCCGCATAGGGCGGGCTTGGGCTACATTTTGATATACAAAAATTGTATTCGGGCTTTTTAGCCCGGCCCGGTTTAGCCCGAACCCGCCCGGGTAGCCCGTTTTAACACCTCTATTTTGACCTTATGGAGCTTCTAAGAAGAATTAAAAGTAGAGCTTAGGAAACACTTATCTCCATTTTGGATATTTTCATCAATTCTTAATCATTGGGGAAGATATTTCTCAATGTAATTGCCTATCAAGAAAGAGCAGGCAAAAAAGAGAGTGGAACAAGCTAATTACTGAATATTTCATTCATTAATGATATGAGAGTTGCTAACCATCCATAGAAGCGGATGTTAACCGGATGATAGTTTGTGCAATTTTAAACTGTACCGTATTAAACTAAGATAAGCCTAAAGAACACAAGTTAAGGAACTAGACAATATACTTAAATAAAATGAGTGTCATCCACAGAACCAAAAAGCACAACTCATTTAACTTTGTATGGAACATTAAGGCATGCAAGATGATGCATCATATGTTGGGAGTAACAAATAGCCAAGATGGAAGTCTAAAAAATAGAGACCATCATCTTTGCCGCCCTCTGTTCCACTACAAAGTGAAGACCAAAAGATTAAGGAGAAGGACATGTCACCTCAGTCTTGCAAACATCGACTCTTAATCAGACACAAAGATGAAAAAGCTTGTCAGTGAGTAAGATTCCTCTCCAGTGTAGCGGAAACAATCGTTGTATAACATTATTCAGAAGCAATCAAATAAAGTGCATAGAATAAATAGAAGAGAAGAAACAAAAAACTTGGTAACGGGGTTCATGTAAGGACTCAAATTATACCATAGAAATTTTGTCTATTTATTGTTAAAACATGCATTTAGTCGAAATAGTGTCCTCGCCCTTTCCTTAAGGTTTACCTTTTACTAGATGATTAACACTTCAAACTTGATATTAACTAATTTACTTACCAAAATATTTTGGGGTTCATAACCCTTAATTTCACCTTATAGTTTCACAATGAGGACTCAGTCCTTACATACATACCATTCATACATCAGTTCACTAGTTACGACCATTACATATCCAATAGTTAAATTAATAGATACAAAACAAGTGCATTTTGCAAAACAACAAATCAATATTTCTAGTACTTCAAAAATCAGAAAGCTACACTAAGAAGCCGCCTGGATCTACCGGTCCCTGGTTTTACCTACACACTGATTATCACAAATACAACCAACAAGAAATACAAGGGAGTAAGACATAAGAATCATGATAATCAGTGTTTATAAATCAGTGTAGAATAATAGTTCGAACATAAATAAATCCAAGTTTAACATAAATCAATAATCAAAACAATTGAACGTCGTCCCACCGTTACATAACCACATTCTATATATCTGTTAATTCAATACCACATCGAACAAGTCATACATTGCCATAAGGCCAGTACCACGTCGGGCAAGTCATACATTGCCATAAAGGCCAATACCACATCGGGCAAGTCATACAATGCCATAAAGGCCAATACTACATAGGGAAAGTCATACATTGCCATAAAGGTCAGTACCACATTGGGCAAGTCTTACAATGTCATAAAGGCCAATACCACATATGGCAAGTCATACATTGGTTCATCAATTTCCATGACACGAAAATATCACATTATACATTTACCTCAAACATTTACAATGCTTATCCCTTACCTTGGTGTGCGTTGGTGATGGTGTTGGGCAACTTGCTAGTTTCTCCTCCACTTCCTCCAACCTTAAGGTCTATCCTCATTCACACACACAACAACCATAATCAATAACATATTCATATTATCACATAAACAACTTAATACCACATATTTATCCATAAAATAGTTCATATTAATTTTTCTAAAACCATCTCCATTAGGAATTTCATGCATGTAAAACATACCTATTTACTTCTATTTAACATTAGAATCCATAAACCACATTTCTAACCTAACATTTCCCCCTTTCAACATCATTTTCGTTTTGGGTTTTGAGGTTTTCTTGAATCAACCACCAATCATCCCCATTTTCGAATACAAACTCTAAACCTCGAGTTTTTCAAAGGAAAAGCTAGATAAAAGTAAACTACAACTCAAAAGAGAGAGTTATATGATTTTCCACACCAAGAGAAGAGACCCAAATGCCCATAATGAGTTTCAGAGTGAGAATGAGTGTTAAAATCAAGAGGTTTACCTCTTCTCTAGCTTCTCTAAGCCTCTACACGAGCTCTTGCCAAGAAAATCGCCTCCTCTTCTCTTTTCTCCCAAAAACCTACCCCCTTTTCATGTTTGGGGTTCTATTTTAGGGTTCAGACTTTTAGATTCTCGCCCAAGTGAGAACACGTCGCCCAGGTGAGAAATCCCCGCCTTTTAAAGTTTCAAACTCTGATGCTCTCGCTCAAGCGAGGGATACTCGCTCAGGCGAGAATCCTCTAGCCTCTGCAACACTCCTTTCGCTCAGGTGAGCCAATTCTTGCCCAGACGAGAATTTTTCAGCCTCCACAACTTACCTCTCGCCCAGGCGAGCCATCTCTCGCTTAGGCTAGAGTCCTAGAGAAATCCTGAGACCAAACACTGAGCCTCTCGCTTGGGCGAGGCCCTCTCGGTCAGGTGAGAAACACTCAGTATACTCCAGACTTCCAGGACTTTCACTACCCTTAGGGAAAATAAAATTAGGGTGTTACAATTCTCTCCCTCTTATAAGAATTTTCGTCCCCGAATATTAAACATACCTATATTTGAACAAATGAGGGTAATCCTCCACCATGTCACGTTCCACTTCCCAAGTTGCATCCCCTTCATCTACTTGGATCCATAGTACCTTCACCAAAGGAATTTCCTTTTCCCTCAATTTCTTGACACTTTTATCCATGATTCTCACGGGCAAAGTCTCAAACATCAGGTTATCCTTAAGTTCTATCTGATCAGGCTCAACCACATGGGATGGGTCTCCAACATACTTCCTCAAATGAGACACATGAAACACATTGTGGAGATTCGACAACAATGGAGGTAAGGCAACCCGATATGCTACTAGTCCAATCCTCTTCAAGATCTGGTATGGTCCTATTAATTTGGGAGTCAATTTACGAGATTTTAGAACTCTACCAATCCCAGTAGTCGGAACTACTCTCATGAACACATGATCTCATTCGTCAAACTCAAGAGGTTTCCGCCTCTTATCATAATAGCTCTTCTGTCGGCTTTGGGCAACCCTCATATTCTCTCTTATTCTCTTAATCTTTTTGGTCGTCTCACGAACCACCTCGGGTCCCAACACAAAATTCTCTTCAGTCTCAAACCAACTCACTAGAGTTCTACATTTTCTCCCGTACAATGCTTCATAAGGTGTCATCCCGATACTCGAATGGAAACTATTGTTGTAGGTGACTCGATCAAGGGTAGCATACTATCCCAATTTCCTGGTTGTTCCAAAGCCCTCAAAAGATCTTCCAACGATTGTATGGTCCTCTCCGACTGACCATCCGTTTGTGGGTGATAAGTTGAACTCAATTTCTACTTGGTTCCAAAAGCAGATTGCAGACTAGTCCAAAAATTCGAAGTGAAACGGGGATCTCTATCTGATACAATACTCGATGGTATCTCATGCAATCGAACTATCTCTCGGATATACAGCTCCGCCAATCGTTCTAAAGAATATCTCATGTTTAGAGGTAAAAAGTGAGCAGACTTAGTCAACCGATCCACTATTACCCATATTGAATCATGCCCTTTCTGAGTCTTTGGAAAATCCGACACAAAGTCCATCGAGATGCTATCCCACTTCCACATAGGGATTTCCAATGATTGTAGTTCTCCTGCCGATCTCTGGTGTTCAGTCTTAGCTTTATGGAAAGTCAAGCAACTCGATACATATAATTCCACATCCTTTTTCATCCCGGACCACCAGAACAACTTCTTTAAATCCTGATACATCTTTGTGGTTCCCGGGTAGAA